GTGTGTGTGTGTTTATGCATGTCACCGTGTTTGTGCATATGTGGGTGTGTGTCTGTATGTGTGTGTATGTTTGTTTGTGTGTGTGTTTGTGTATGTGTTTGTGTTTATGTGCTTGTGTGCATGTGAGCAGGCCAAGGTAAGCTATTTTATATAAGTCCATCTTGCTGAATACCCCTGGCAGGACCAATACGAGTACTTGAACCATATCCACACGAGCATGCACCCAGAAGGCTTTCCTCTGATCAGAGGATGGAGAGATGTCATGGACGAATACGAGAAAAAGGATGGAAAGAGCAGGTATGTTGATGATGTCATGGATTGGGGGAGAAAAGAGTTTGCCCCCTGGGGATGGTTCCTTTTCACACACTAGAAAAATTTTGAACCTTGTTGACTTGTGAATTATGATGTCACTTGGGATGAAATGAGACAAACGAGTGAAAATATATCTCATTTACACTCTTGCAGACAGACAGTGAGTGGAAATTTTACAAATGTGCCTGAGGCCTTAGATTTGAAGAATTTTAATGTCTTTTTCGATGAAGGCGGTTGTATTGAGAGTATGTTAGTAGGATGTTAATAATATGTTGGTGGTAGTCTCACACGATACATCCCTCCCAAAACCACGCCCCCACACATCATCCCTCCCTCCCCCCCCCCTCAACATCTCACCACACCTCTTCTCCTTTAAAACATCTTAAAACATTGCAAAAGTACCTTTTAAACTATAATATTTCATATTAGTATAATTGATTGTGGTATGTACCCTAACTTTTTACCTGAAAAATCCCTTCCACTATGTTTTGTCTCTTTTAACTTCTGCCTCACATAACTATAATTTTGGAGTTTGGAGGCCTCAAACAGCGTTGATGGTGATATTCAAAATAACAAAAGTAAGCCTGCTAAGTTCAAATAAAGTCAAGAATTGTATAAACCCGATATTATGCTCGGCTATTGACCTCCAATACGTGAGGTTGGGGGTTCAGGGCTTCTAGGCTCTGCTCTGCCCAATTTTGTGTTCTCAATTCAACCATATGTGAATGGGTACCCGACGATATACAAAACGATTTTTGTCTGTTAATCAGTGTTTTATCGTCTGTAAGATGACATATAAGATTGTATGTTTCCCATGAAATTGACATTGTTTCAGAATGCAATCAGTCTGTTGGGGGTAATGATGTCGATTGCAAAGTGCATAGATATTTCTGTTGGGTGTGAATATGTGCTTTTACAAAATTTGCTAATTAAAAATAAATAATAATAATAT